TTAAAGCAAACACAGCGCGTGCAACAATAATTGAATGTTATGTATTTAGTAACAATAATGACTACCATATTCATTCAATATAATATTCAGTAGTTATCATTTACAATATCTATATAGAAAAGGTGCCGTTTTTCAGTATGAGGGCTTCTTCGTCAGTGTGACTTGTTAACATTTTTTTACCTAATTTATGCCAGGTTTAAAATAATGGAATCAATGTAGTTACAGACTTTATTCAGGCATCCTATCTTAATCCTTGGTAACCACAATCGACATCCTCACAAATGTGTCATTTTTGGATCCTAATCCTGGAAAAAGTATCAATTAGGAAAAGACAAAATGTCTTTTATGGTTAAATAACATTATCATTTTAGTAGTAGTAAGTAGGTTATTGTTTAACATTTCACCTACAAAGAAAATTTTGGATTCATTGAATCCATAATAATTAATAGTTTTTATTAGACTTGCACATATCGAATACCGAATATTCTGCGGGCTTCGTGGCCGAATAGCCGAATATTCGGGCGGGCAGGAAGAAGTGTTTGTTCTTCAGTGCGTTGTTTGTGCTCTGAAGCTGGAATTGTCTACAAGAAGAAAAGGAGCAACTACAGCCTGAATATGAAGAAAAATTTGTCTTTCTGCACCATTATCTTCCACTTTAATTATGATAATTCTAATGTATAGACATTTATATGATAATTACTTTTTTATTTTATAATATGGAACGTGATTACGTACCCAATGACTACTTTAATGTTTACAAGAAAAAATTATAAAATAAATAAGTAATTTCATTTTACCAATTACCTGACTATAATAAAACCTCTTACTTAAGACAATACCCCGACCAAAACGTTACGATAGTGCGTTTTTAAGAGACTATTATCTCATTAGTAATGACAAATAAACTACATCCAAAAACACATTATTAATGTTCGACATCCTATCATCACATTTCACGTCTAATTTGTTTTTATGTCTTATAAATACATTTAAAAACAACTTTCAAAAAAGACTAAAGTTATTGATTACATGCATCTGTTGCTAAAGGCAACGCTCTAATCATTTGAGGATTACACTAATGGATAGATAATTTAAAAATCTATATTATTCACGTTTTATTTAATTTCTTAAGTTCGCTTTTCTTTTTAATTGAAATAATTCCAAAAATTTGGGCGTATTTCTTACGGCGCCTCTACACGTTGGCCAACACAGTGGCGAATGTAGTGGCCAATAGCATTGGCGAACGTGTAAACGGGGTGTTTGGGCTTCATTGGTATGTATTGGAACGATGGCCCGCAAGTTGGCGCGATCCGTGTGGTGTCGGTTTTTTACAAAAGATCAAAGGATAGTTGCAGAGTTTGGTCGCCGCGTCCACACGTTGGCCGCGAGTTTAGTTTGCTACAAGCTCCCAGAGTGATTACACGCATCTGATTAAAATTTTATATTCACGCTTTGTAGGGTGGATGACCCAATTACCAGCCTTTTAGTGCCAATTGCAACTTTAAACATTCATAATACTTTAATTAGCGCGATTTAATTATTTTTAAACATTTGTTTTATTCGATAAGCTATTTATAAAAAAAATAATGAACATTTATTAACAATCAGATTATTACGAGAACAATTTTAAAATGAAAAAAAAATGAAGCACGTCGATTATACGTGGTAGAACCATGCAGTTATATTAGAAGTATAGTTGTAGCACGAATGGGTCTGTTCGACCGGGGAAGGACAACGCTCTCACAGAATATCAATGTAAAATAGTAGCTTAATGATGCTGTGTTTCGTATAGTGAGTGTAGAGAACCAGAGACACTTTTTAAAGGATACGAGGCATTTCATCTTAGTCCTCACGGGTGACAACGCATCTGCATTTTGATTCGTAATCGAGGATAGATGTAGATGTCTATGGGCCACAGCAACCACTTACCATCAGGTGGACTGTGTGCTCGTTTGTCACCCTATCCTATATAAAAAGCGTCGATTTCTTATAATTTAATCATGCAAGTTTTCGAATCATCATCATCATTACAGCTCTTCACAAGTCCACTACTGAACATCCTCCTCCACAGACTGCCGCAAAGCATGGTCCTGAGCCACTTTGCTCGTCATGAGTTTTTCATTTATGTTCTAAGTTATAATTAGTACCTATTATTAAGTCAGTGTTAATTATATTTATTGCTATTGTTTTTGTCTTTCTAAAAAAATAATTAAATTACCAAATAAATTATAAGGTGTTTTTATATACATCAAATGTCTGATAGAAAAGCAAGTACATGTTTTGCTAAACTTTAAAAACAAAACCCAATTTTAAAACATAGACTAATCGATTATAACTCCTTTAACTTTAAAATAACTTAAGTTCTAATTAATGGTAGTTATTCCAGTTTCTGATGCATGTAAAGAATGAATAAAGCTAATCGTATATCGTATATCTATTTACAACCCTATTAATATTCACTATTCTTTTATAATTATTTTATAAAAACGTTACCCCCCACACTTGGATTTTCTCCTGTATCGCGGAGGCTACTTACAAACATAAATTGCACAAGGACACACAGCCACTCATTGCCAAGCCACTGCGCCACGGAGCCGACGTCTAAAATAAAATAAATTCGTCCGCACATTGGCCCGAACCGATGTAAACTGAACGACCTTCCAACGTGTGGACGCCGTCACCAACTCTCGGCCAATATATTCGCCACTACGTTCGCCACTGTGTTGGCCAACGTGTAGAGGCGACATTACGCGATATATTGTAGCGAGAGCGCGATGTTTGTATAGGACCGAACGCTCAAGGTCGCTCGCTAGAAGTAGCACCTTAAGTATTAGGTATTCGGCCGAAGAGTACCTAGATATTCGGTATTCAACAGAATAGGATAAAAGTAGCCGAATAGGCCGAATATCGAATAATAACCGAATATTCGTTGCAAGTCTAGTTTTTATTAATCCGAATTATAAAAAAGTAATTGCGATGATAAAATATGCTTGAACCTTGCTACTTTGTTCACTAAATACATAATCACAGTTCGCTAATCCTAAATCTGAATTATCAACTATACAGCTAGTGACTAATACTGTGTGTTTAATTACTAATTAATTAGATTTGTTTCGGACTGTTATATTTATATCTGATACAATATAAAAGAAATTAAAATCATCTTAAAATTTCCAGATGGCCAAGCCTAAGTAAATAAAAAAAAACTTAAAATAATAGAAACAAAGAGGATGAGGAGACCTTGGGAGTTTTTTTTTCAGTTTTTGCTGCGTAGATTTGGAGAAAAAAAATGAATGATATAAATGTCATCTTAGCGGTCATGCGCGGAATTGTTTTAATCACGTAGTAATTTCAATTACGACAGTGACTGTTTTTAGGTAAATACGAAATAAAGTTACATACTTATCTGAAATAAACTGCAAATCACATTGAAAAAGTGCGCACATAAACTAATGAGAGTAACGTTTCGTTTACAACACTTGTTTTCAGGCAAATACTCAAGATTTTCAGACGAAATTCACGTACAAAGTGCAAATACAAATAAGCTCTAGTAAATAGATCACCACGGAGTCACATCATCACATGAAGAATAGGAACTGATCCGTAAGAATTTTTATGCTAAAACTCGATTTATGAACAAAATGGACTTTACAAAACTCAATGGTATTGCCCCTCATTTAAAGGCTAGCACGGCCAAAATGCGACCAGTAAAGAGATCGTTCTTTCACACTAATAAACAGTCCGAAACAAGTTCCAGTTGTGTCCAGTACTCCGAGCCAAGTCGTCGAGAATTTTGTCACAGTTTTCAATAAGCTATAAATGTTATTAAATAATAAATTATTTATCGAAGCCTAGTTTGAGCTTTGTTTAAAAATAGATATATAATTTATGCGACCGACACGATATTTTATTTAAATATTTTTGCATTATACGTAGTTTTGTTGCAGACAGTTATGTATATGTAAAAATAATTTATTAAAAACCGTTATTCTAAGCACAAGTATTCACCAAATTTTTCTATGATTTAATCTCACGCACAAGGAATGTTTTCAATTATTTTTTGTAAATATATAAAATTAAGCTATAATTAATAATAATAATAAGTATATAATATAGTGACAAAGATGTTTTTCATACAAATATAAACCTAACGTTCTACTGCGAAAAGTTGATTGTTCTTGTTTGTTGCATATAACATTTGTACAGAAACCTTGCCAATTAGAATACTCAGCCAATTAGAATATCAGCATCTTACATATAACACAATTAAACATTAACAACCAAAGCAAATAAGTACTCAATAAAAAAACCATAGAAGTAATATCTACTACGTAGGTACTAGAGTAGAACAGACACGTAGAAGGAGGCACAGAGTAGCTTTCTATGGCACAGAGTAAGTTTGAACTCGCACCCGCACGTGTTGCAAGCATCAAGTCTTGGCGTCTCTTTCAGTACGTAGTACATGTTACTACTAGGTTTAAACCAATATTTTTTAACTTATATAAATACTTATATAAATCTCCTTGGTATCCAGCTTTGAAAATCAATGATTTTCAAAAAACCGTGATATATTTTTTCTAAATTTGGCTGCAAACTGCAATGTCTTGTTAAAAAATTATCAGTTTCCTAATGACATCGACGTCCGTCCGTCTCTCCGTGTCTACAGAAGAAAGTTAGTACAAGTGAACCTAATTTGACAAGAAAAATTTGTGCTCAAGTGGGGGATGAAAAGGAAAGACATTGGCTGCAAAGTCACTATGTTCTTGTAGATAAAGAATTATCAGTTTTCTAAAGGCAACACTGTCCACGTCTCCATAGGAAAAACTTAGCATAGTTAAGTTAATGTGACTAGTATTTGCGCTCACGTGTGGTGCGTTGTTCAGCGGTGACCTTGTGTCGGCGTCGATGTCAGCAAAGGGCGCGTTGTGACGTCCTTGTCGGTGAAGAGCGCCTCATGAGTACAATTTGTGCTCACGTGTTGTTCATCAGGGTGTCGGTGCTTAGTGATCATTTAGTGTTGGTGTCGGGCAAGGGCGTGGCGTGTCTGCAATCGCGTCAGCGCGGTGCTCCTCCTCAGTACTGTTGCGCTGAAGTTCATCTAGAGCTTCGCGCGCGGCCTCAGCGGTTTGGCGGCGCCACAGCGGCGCTCGCTCCACGTAGCGCGCCTCGTCGAAGCCCCAGCGCAGCCCTAGAACTATGCTCAGCGCCGACGCGTCCTGGGCGTGGCAACCCGAGTACCTGTACTGCGGTTTCTTGTCGAACCGACATCCCACGGATTGCGCGCCTACGAAAATGATAAGGGTTACGTGTTACTGTTTTTTTATTATTAAAAAAATACTAAACCTGTCTACGATTATCAGAAAAAGTGTTTTATAAAAGCAAAACTGTTTATTGTTTGATAACAGAAAGTATACGGCTGTCCGTTATTATTTATTTATCATTCACGTGATTAGCATGAAACTATGATGAGTTGTGCATACGCCTGCGATTGTTTTTATCAAACAGACCTAATAGCATAGTAAAAACAAAATAGTAGGCTGTATTCTAAGAAACGAACCGGACGCCGCTAATATGTGTGGGTGCCTGACACGTGCCAGTATGTACTTGTACGCACGAGCCACAGCATGCACACAACAATACTTGCTAAGCCGGAAAAATCGGGTCGAGTCGGAGACGCCCACCGCCGTGCCCCGCAATCACCTTTGTTTGAGACTTTGCTGCCTTTTTTCTTTTTGTACAATAAATTAATACATGCATTTGTTTAAGAAAATTTGCTTTTTATTAATAGATTATATTAATATATATACATAGATAGATACATACCTCATAAGTACATTGATTATCATATCACATCAGACCAAATTAATTTTAAATATTAAATCTGCTGCTCAGTGTTTAATTTACGCGTATTTTAGTTATTTGGCATTTGTTGTAATGTAAAGCTACATTTTTTTGATAAACATTGATGCTTTAAGACGTTACTAAAAAAATAATTAACAAATATGATGTATAGGTATTATGATAACATACTTATAAAACTAAACGAGTCTTAGCTGTTAAACAAAAAGACAGTGACAACCCAGCAACAGTAGGCACTTAAGTCTTGCGCGGCGCGGGATGATCCTACTATTTTGTTTTTACTATGGCGCCGTCGACAGTTTCGAATAAAAATGTTTAGATTCGGCTTAACATTTATACAAGATTTATACGGAGGTTAATTTTATAATATTTTCTAATTATATTGGACAACATTTTGAAAAATTTTGTCCGTGTTAAAAATTTACATTTCAGGAACTCAATAAATTCTATGCATCCTCTGTTACGTGTGTCTCTTTTGTTACAAATATATACCTACAAATATTATAGCGCAATGTAGTTTACTGTAAATGTTTACTTAAGTTTTATTGAAAATTTTCACGCGCCTTCGATATTTTGTGGTTTTGTTATAAAATGTTATATAAAGATATGTGTGAAATAACCAAAACAATTGTGTATTAACATAGTAGCAGTAAAATGCTTCTTGTGATACTTGGGTAGCAGCTTAATGTTGCTGTGTTTCGTATGGTGAGCGAAGAAAACCAGACACCCTTTGTATTGGAAACGAGACATTCCTAGTCCTCAGTGGTGACAACGATCTACATTTTTATTCTCAATCGAAAGGGCCACAGCGTCCACATTCCATCATGTGAACTGTATGCTCGTTTTTAACACTTATCCTATAAAAAAAACATCCAAGATGTAGACTGTGACAGACAACGCATTTACCGATCGGCATGATGCAGTCAAGCGTGAGTGCGCACTGCACCCAGGGGCGCATGATCTCGTCGGCGGCGGGCGCTGCGAGGATGAGCCGCTCCACGTCCAGCATCTGCACGAAGAGGAAGTCGTCGGGGCTGGCGCGCAGGTACGCGAACATGCGCGGGTGCGTGAGCGAGGTGACGGCGGCGCGGCGCGGCCACGCCAACACGCCGCTGCCACCGCTACCAACGCCGCCCGCCGCCCGCTGCCACAGCGCGTGCAGCTGTGCGCGCGTGCCCGCCCACAGCTGCGCGCTCTCGCTGAACACCACCCCGCCCACGCGGCTCAGCGCGTGCTGCACGCACCGACAACGTTACTGACAACCTATCAACCTCTGCCTAGCGGTACGTTACTACAGAATTAGAAGTCTTGGGTTCCAATTCTAAACGAAAAAATAAATGTAAAGTAGAATGATTACTCCTTTAATAGCTTACTAGGGTGGTCTGAAAAGTTTCCGACCTCAACGTGAAGATGGCAGCACTCATCAATAAAAGCTAATGAATGTAGTTGTGCATCTTTTGACAGTAACGTGCCAAACTTGCAGTCATTTTGAACGCGTAGATGTTATTTGACAGTCAGTGAGTCGATGTGAGTTTATGTGAAAATGGAAAAAATTGAGTATCGAGTATTCAGATTATCCATTATACATTCCCCTGTTGGGATGGAAGTATACATATATCACAAGTACAGCGCTACCGCTGTGCCATAAAATTTTTAGAAAACACACGGAGCCACCTTCATCCATCATCTCTTTGCTTAAACCATCAAATAATCAATAGTATTTGCATACCATTAAGACATGAAGAACCATTTTTAATGTTTGTCCGAGCTAATCTTCGAAATGGCTCACAACAACACTCAGATCAAGAACAATATCCGAAGTGATCTAAGCTATATTTTATCCGAGAAAGTTGAAGATTTTTCTCTGGTAAAAACTAAAAATTGATAAAACAAATGATCTTAAATCTAAATGACTCAACATTAATGGATCCTACCCTATTCTTTAAGGTCCTTCCCCGGTCGAGCAGACGTTCGTGCTACAACTATAATGTGTCCGCAGCATGACCAGCACCTATGAAAGTCAATAGACTGCAGCAGCCACTTACCATCAGGTGGACTATTAGATCGTTCTTCAATTCTGTTTCATAAAAATATGGTCTTTATTTTTTATATTAAATTATCGTTGTTACTTTTTAATGTGTGTCTCCTACATTGATTTTCTGCAAACCATCAAAGATATACATTTCTACGAGTATTGTTAAAAACAATCCTGTAAAATTCAGAACGCTTATGCCGTTATCTAACAGCTATGTACATATACGTACGTGATGAACAAAAGGAAAACGATAGCGAAAAGTACACTGGAATTTAACCGATGCAATTTTATCTAACACATTGTTTAATAGCTCGTACGTGGAAGTCCCCTTTAAAAGTAGACACTGTGTAAAGACAAACATCTGGAGCAAACTTACGTCGGTCTGTGTAAACACGTTGCGTTCCTAAAGCACTACAAAATATAAGTTTGCGTCACGAATTTTTATATGCTACACCTCTCAGCTAGCTTTAAATATTGATTTATGATAAGCAAGTCAAAAGAAAAAGCACTCCAGAAATGATTCACCCGCGTGCGCTGGCCTAATGGTTAGTGATACGTTAACACAATATTCTACAAAAATATAGATCTTTACTCCACCAATAAAAAAAGTCTGCGATATCATGTGCCTATTTCTTATATAAGCCACAATAAGGTATTTTATAACAAAAAATTAGTGAACATTAAAAAATGATTTATCAGCGTTATTATTAGACATGGCATATTAATCCTTACGAACGAAAGTTATTTCATCATCAAGACAATTTTATGAAGATAAACTTTACTCTTTATAGCACAGTTTAAGAGGTAAGGATAAATTTTAATATCTCAACACACGACTCGGCTCGTTAACGACGCACAAGCTCTAGCCGCTAGTGGAAACGACGAAACGAGAGAAACCAACAGTAAACGTTTCTATGAGCGAGGTAAGTCCAATTATTTTAACTAAACATTGGCTAAATTAATGGAGTACTATTATCTATCAGCATATGCACTTAAAGAGCCAAGTTAAATTTTATCCACTATCCTTCCTCTTTCTCATGCACCGGAAAGTGTCCCGAAGCGTAGTTTTATTTTTATTTTTAAGCAAGCCTTAATAATCCTTGATACATTTTCTATCAGCATCTTATATATAAAAAATTGGAAATTAAAAAAAACATTATAAATGATAACAATGTACATATATTTTGTGGCAGATTGCGCAAAAACTGTAAGTGATATCGCTTTTGTATCTAAGAGGTTGATAGCAAATTTATCAAGGATCATTTCGTAACTACACACTTTTTATGTATCTACATACTTTTCAATCGTTTACGGTTTTCTTTAAAACTGGAAAAAACTGCGCTTCAGGACAATTTCTGGGGCGATGGGGGCGGTATGTGACGCTCACTCGGGAGAGGGGGGAGGGTAGATAAACTTTAACTTCGCTCTATCGCATATGTGATGTCGATAGATAAAAATACTAAATTAATTAGCCAATTTTTCCATACACTGCTACTTAAAATGCTTGAACTAGTTGTCATGTAATGTCGCGCGGCTCAGAGACGTGATATACGCGGGTGAAACCGCGGGGCACAGCTAGTATTTTTTATAGAATAAAGGTGACAAACGAACACATAGTCCACTTGACGATAAGTGGATGCTGTGGCCTATATACGTCTACATCTATCCTCGATTATGAATCAAAATGGAGATGCGTTGTCACCCGTGAGAAATAAGATTGAATGCCTCGTAAAAATGGTATCGCAGTTCTCTACTGTATACTTGTAAAGTTTCATTGACAAAATATTTGATAAATAGTGCCATGTGGTCGCGACGTATTAGAGTCCACTACCCCATATCATCGCGTGGGTTGTCAGGTAAAACAAAAACTGTAGTTGGCAACCCCAAGCGCGGCAATAACTACAGAAAATATGCCCCCCTATGAGGCAAATCTATGGAGGACGTCTGTGATTAGTAGTGGGTATCTTTTCTTATAGCATAAGGATGACAAACGGGCACACAGTCCACCTGATGGTAAGTGGAGGCTGTGGCCCATAGACATCTACATCTACCCTAGATAAAGAATCAAAATCCAGATGCGTTGACACACCTGAGGACTAAGATAAAATGTCTCATAGCCAGTAAAAATGGTCTTCAGTCGTTGATGGAGAAAACAAGAGCCTCCCCGTTTTATGGCACATTTCCTGAATGCTTTCAGAGGTTTGCATCACTGTGAGGTTCTAATCGTCCGCGAAAACAGATACAAAACCGCTCTCAGGTTTAGCACACTTGCTCCTAATTAATCAATCCATCCATTACAGCCTATAAAAGTGCACTGCTGAATACAAACTTCCTTATGGGATGTTACTATAATTACCACGCTTGGCAAGTTGGCCACCGCAGTTTTTTATTTTTATATGTTGTTTCCAGGAAGATGTTGCTACTCATCTCATGATTCAGTTTCCCTCAGTCACCTCTACGACATCCACGGGACGATATGAGGTAGTAGATATTCTTATACCGCACCACCACTACACGGGGTACTCCTAATTAATGGCATAGTCACGGTAATTTTATCTATACAGTATTCCAACTCCATACAAACGGACGAAGCGAGACCTATGCCTACGCGCCTCGATCTCGGCATGCGCTCGGCATGCAGACACAGTCGAGACTGTGCCGCAGTGATGATTTTGTGGAATAAATAAAAAAATGGAGGAAATAAATAATAGAATAGAAATAAAAAATAATAAATCCGAACTACATTTAAAACCAAACATAAATTGTAAAATATCTTTTACTTGGTTATAGAATATAGATACCTCTATAACCAAGTAAAAGATATTCCTTTTCTCCACCTTGTCCACGTTTCCCAAAACAATTTTTAATTAAGCTTTATATTAGAATGTGGATTTTTATACATACTTAAAAATTTAATAATAAAGCATTTCGTACGTCTCAGCCGAGGCGCAAATATTTTTCGGTCGCAAATTCATAAGACCGATTTGTTATTCAAACATAAACATGGTTTTTTAATTAAATCCACCAATCAAAAAACGACACGAATTTTTATTGAACACTCCCTATTCAATTCACAAAGTACCTATTATATTTGTTTATATAAAAAAGTATATTTACAATCATAAAACTAACTGGAAGCACAAAGTAGGCAAATGTAAAAATGCTGGAGGCAGGCCAGCCCTATCGCATGTATACGTACCGCGCGGCTGTAGGCATTTATTTCAAAGATACGGCCGAGTTACAATACTGTATAGATAATATTACCGTGGCATAGTACTATTCCCTAAATCAATAGTCAAAGTTTCCGTGGCACATGACGACATTGAAGCGGACGTGATGTAACAACTTCGAACATTCCAGACATTATATGCGGCGGTGAAAGCAGCACCTAACATATCAATGTCTAGAACTGATTGAACTGATTCGTCATGCAAGCGTGACCATTACGTAAATTGCTACTAAATAGAACTCGAATATATTAGTGAAATACTTTAGCCGACACGATCGAATCCAGTACACAAGTTTGTTTTTTATACTGGATGACCTTTTTACCGTCTCGACAAAAATAGGGTGTAACATGTGAACGGAGTAGAAGCCTATAGCAATGATATTTTACAAAAAATATATTTTTTTTTTATTAAGTGTTTGTAAAAAGAAATTTTTAACAATTACTTTGCCCTTTAACCTTGAGCCTGTGACCCTGCGAAGTGACAAGGTCAAAGATGCCTACTAAATTTATTGTTTTATTGCCGGTTGTAAAGTAGGGTGGATATGATTTGAATTTCGACAGATTGGTTTTAATCAATTTATTTATTTAATTTTTTTTGTAAAATATCAGCCATAGGCTTCTACTCCGTTCACATGTTACACCCTATTTTTTCCAGACGGTAAAAAAGGTAGTTCAGTATATTACTTAGTGATAAACTGATTATGACTTGTGGATCTAAGACGTGGCACTTCATTACTGACCGGAAGCTATAGGTCGCTCAGCAAGCGATGGAGAGGGCTGAGCTGAGGGTTTTTGTGCGTGATAGATTTAAAAATGAGGATATTTGCAGTAGATCCAGAGTACCAACATAGACCAACGTCGATGGATGCAGGTGTCTCAGAGCCTTGCTTTGTAGGATTCCTTGAGGAGACCTATGTTCAGCATAGTACTTGTACTTTATCATTGTAATGACGGTAATAATGATAGTGAT